TGTAATTTATATCTATTTGTCTTGTACAAGTTGGGTTTTTATTATAATCATCTAAATAAATTACCAAATAAAGATATAAGCAAGGCCTCACCTTAATAACAAAAAAAAAAAAAAAGATATAACTTTTAATATTAAATCTTTTTTAATTAATAATGAAAATATAATTAATTAGTAAAGTTAATACATTAAATAAGCTCTATTATAGTTGTGAAACTCTAAATTTTTCTTTTTTGCTTTAGTGATTATATTTACTTTTGCTTTGTATTTAATTCTGCATAATTCTGCATAATTCTATTCCATTTTAGTAAAAAATACTTAAAATGGTCGCTTATTGTTTAAAAAATTAAAAGCGTTTTATAGACTATGCTCTTGCTCTTTGCTCTTGTTCTTTGCTCTTGCTCTTGCAGCACTATGCTAAAGTAAAAAAATTATCTCTTTCGCTTATACCTTTTTTTTTTATTTTTTGCTATTTTATTAACAAAAAATTGTTAATTTGTATAAATTCTGTTCCCTATCTTGAGATTTTTCATTTTTTTCATTTTTTCATTTTGGATTTTTTACCGCCCTGATGATTTGATAATCATTAAAATTAATTCCGCTCTTAGCTTTTTTTTCACTAAACTAATCATTTACTATATTTTAATTTTGTTACTATAAAAATAAATAAGTATTTAAGTTGTACTATACATGTATTCTATTTTTATATATTTATTGCTTTTTACATCTGCCATTTACATTTTAGTCTTTATTTACAAATAAATCGCATATTTGAATTATTATTAATCTAAGCAAAATATCACAGTGATCATGTGTTACTTACTATTTAAGAAAATATGCTTCTCAATTTGTTTATCTAAATAAATATTATCTAAATAAATAACCCTATACGTATTAGCCTTCCCTTAACTATCTTATCTTGCTCACTTTCCTGTTTGTATTTCCCTTCATCTCTCAAAATTTTCTCTCTACTTATTTATGTACGTATATACATCTCGCTCTTATTTTTCCCATATTACGACCTTCTAAAAAGTAATTAACCAACCAGCAATTATGAGTTTTAATAAGATTTAAAATTTTACCTATCTGAATTTTTCTATCACGAATCCGAACACGTGTAAAAAGTAAAAAAAAATAAAAATGCACAAAACTTTTTTAATTTTTCTTATGCACTAATTAATACTAATGTGAATGAAGTTTTGAATATATTTTCCTAATCTACCACTACTATTTTAATCCTACCAATCTAAACCTAAACTCTTAACCTTCTATATTTATACACTTATTTTACGCGCTTATTCTATTTATCTCATTTCTTTCCTTTTTTGGACTGCCCTATAAAATCTTAATCCATGCTTTATATTCCTGTAAAATTTTGCATATTTCGAATTTATAACCTTATATTATGGAAATTATTCACTTTACTTATATTCTATCGATAATGTTGCTAATTTTGAGTTTACTAGATTTTCCCAAAAAATCTAGAAATATTTCGATAAATTTTTTTACATGGCTGTGTTATATGCAAAAGTATACTTCATATTCAAATACCACGTGCCTAAATAAATTTTATCTTGCTTCATATATCAATCTTTTAATTGAATTGAGCATTAATTAAAATCTTTCGATAACCTTTGTTTTTAGAACTTGTAAACAAACCGGTTTTTTCATATACTAATCCCTTTACATTACTGTACACTATTTCATATTAATTAATAATTAATAAAATTATTATGATTGATTACTGCTTATCTGAAGTTGCGCCTAGGCCTCTGAAGTTATACTTGCTTAAAATTACCTACTACCACGTGCAATATGACCTAATTTATGCTAACTCTATCTTCAAGCATGAAGTATATTTAGATACTGTAATAAATCTCAATTTTACAATAAAATGTATTAAAAAATGCTAATTTAAATTAATTATCATTATTACCAATTTATAATAAACACAATAAAAATAATTATCAATTATAACATTTACAAATAGTTATTAGAATAATAATACCTTAATATAAAGTCTCTAATATATCTAATCAAATAATTGATGCATAAAATGCTTTAAATTTTCGATTTTATACATGAATTACATGCTGCCTATGTAAATATTATTATAATAACATATATGTAATGTATATAATTTAATTGCTGTTTAAATTGTATAAATTTACACTTTCTCAAATCTCTAAATAATAATTTAGTTATGTAATTACAATAAAACATCCTATTCATCAATGAATGACTATAGATCTATCAAATTTTCACACCACATTATACTATATCTTCTTTCCCTATTATTAATTATAGAAGAAATCTGATAATCATGAAATTAATGCACCTGATTGGTTAGGATTTGTAGTGATTAGCAAATAGAGTTTTTAAATTTACTGATCTTTCAAATTTTAGCATTATCCCCAACATTAATTTATTTAAACGCATTATTTAAAAAAAGCAATAACAATCTGTTATCACAGTTAATTCTAAATTAATCTTTAAATTTTCATTTTACGTTCATTTAAGTTAATTAAGCAGGCAATAAAGCAGCTACTTTTTTTGCCTAGACTTTTAATTATAATGTTTGTTTATCAATTTCATATAGTTATTTAAATATTCAAACCTGTTCATTTATTAAAAGTTGTAACATCTGGCTAATAACCATCTGCTTATCACTAATTATCGCTATCTTTTTGCCTTGCTACTTCACTAATTAATGCTTATTACTTCCTAATAAAGTATAGGTTATTCAATAAGATTCACAAAATTACATAATATAATCTTCATTATTCTTATATACATGATTTAACAAGTCATAAAACATCTGATTTATTATTTTATCCAAGCTTACCTTTATTATATTTATTTATCTGTCTCGTGTAAGTACTTATTAAATATTCAAACCTTGCTTTTGATTTCTGCATTTATCAAAATGCTGTAACTATCTAGATAACACCAATTATCATTTACTTCTCATTAGAAAATAATTAAAAATTACTACTCCTGATAATTAATTAATTAAACAAGTTATAAAATGACTGTCTTTTTTTTACCTAAGCTCCATTATATTTTTGTTTATTAATCTCATGTAAATACTTGAAAAATTCAAACTTGTGCTATTTAATTGCCACGTATATCAAAAAAGTTGTAGATATTCAGATGACACTGATTATCTCAAACTTTACGTTAACTCTACTTCGCAATTAGCTACTCATTATCTCTTAATAATAAAATAAAGCTTATTCATAAACCTTGTGATACAATTATTGTTATTTCTTATAGACACACTAATAACTAATAATAATAATAATAACAAAGCCAAAAATCTGACTAAATAAAAAAAACAAAATTTTTGTTGGAGAGACGTGGCTATGAAGCGGTTTGTCTAGAGGTTAACGTAACTGCTAGCAGGACTCCTCTATTAGTTGACATTTGACATACAAGCTAAGAGCATTATTATACAAGATAACTGGCAGGTGGTGCCCTTGTATGAAAAATCTTGGTGGTGTTTGGGGTTGGCCCCATCTCTGTTGACGAAGCTATCTAGCTATTACTTCAAAGAAGAATACAGGGAAAACAACAAATCTTGTGTTTTTTGATGCTGCACTCCTTTACTTGGTTAAGTGGTACCTTTTTTACCTCCTCTCATTTTTTTCTGTCGGTCTTCCAAAATTTTTGAAAAAAGTGGGGATTTGGCTTACCCCTTCCAAAAGATTGGCATTGTTTATATTCCAAATTCGGACGGACTTAGTAAAATGCAACCACGTGACGTGTTTATTTATGGATACGGTGCTACCTCATGGGAGTCAGATCAGGACCCCGGTTAATAAGATATTCGAAGTTGGTCAGTTAGTTAGAAAGGAAAATATAGATTAAGACAAAGCTTTACAATAGAGATATACAACTGTTGCATTTGTTATATAATTTTTTAGCCTTGCACAGGTTATAATAGTGTATTTTGGTTATGTAGAGAGGTGAAATCCCTCTCAATTGTTATCTTTTTTCTATAAAATGTTTTTATTTTTTTCCGTTTTTTTATTTTTTTGGGTTTTTTTATTTTTATACTTCGTTTATTTCCTCTATTCCTCCTTTTATATCTCCTTTTTAGTCATAGGTTGTTTTCTTTTTTTTTATAGATTTTTTGATAAGATAATCTGCAAACTGGTGCAACGAGTTGCATTTAGGGACATAAGGTAACTGAATGAAGTTGGGCTTTGAGTTCTATAAATTAATGTATATAGCTCCTATACTCATTTTAATAAAAAGCAAGCCACGGCAAAACCTATGAAAATTAAAAAATAAAAAATAAAAAAAAAATAATAATAATAATAATAACATACTAATAAAATAAAAAAATAATAAATTTTCATACAATTTTTTTAAAGAAATATAACTACATATAATTTCTAATTCAAGAAAAATACCCCATTTACCTCATACTACAATACAACAAATTCAACTAATCTATTCTGCATGAACTTCATTATTGTTTATAAACACTTCTATATCTATAAAAAAATTGCTTCCCACAAAATCATTAACTCTTATAAAAAAAGAACAATTACTTGCCTATATTTCTCACCAAAATTATTTCTGCTAAACATTTCATTATATTCTTGATCTTTATTTCTTTTTGTTTCATTAAAACTATTGGTGAAGGTAACAAGTATGTTTCCGGAACTGCCTTATATCATATCAATAATGATAACAATACTTTCAGAGAAATTACATTTAAAGGCTTTTGCAGAAATCCTGAATCTTTAATATTACCCTTTAACAAAAATTCTATTATTTTAATGATCAGGCGTTATACATATAAAGGAGATACAGAATATGTATAAATAAAATATTACCATTTCCTTTATCATTAATAAGCTAATTAGCTAACTACTCTTTTTTTCTATCAGATCTCTTTAGTCCAAACTGTACCCATATCATTTTCTGATAACGAATATATTCTGACTCCTCCTGATCTTTCTCACTCATCGTCTTTACTTCTCTTTTCAGCTCCTGTTGTACAAGGTTCTTATCATCCTGCTACTAATGGAGGAAGAGAAAGTTTTATGCTCTCAAAGCACTTATACAATGGCATTACTAATAACAAGCAAGTTCTCTCCAACATCATCGTATCATATACAAACAAGAATAAACATTACAATGCTTTGAAAAATAATATGCAAAGAACAGTTTTATCAGTCATAGAAAGGTTAAAAATTGGAACTTCCAAGATTCCACATATTATCGCTTTTGATATCAAATGGACTTATTTAGGTAGCGAACCACAGTATTCAGATCAGTCTTTAATATGTATTGTGCAGATTGAAACTTTATTCTACAAATTTCCTTGAAATTGGCCTATTTTATTATTTTCAACATATTATGCATCTTTTATTTTATATTAACAAAAATTATCAACTTTTCCACATATTGAAACAAATTGAATATTAAAAACATTGATTCAGGTACTTTAAGCAAAGATAAACCAAAATCACACAAAGAATTAGATAACCAGTTAGATAATATTGAAGAGAAATATGTTATGCTTTCCCTCCACCTCTTCAGAAAAAACCAAAGCTCTCCTCATTTCAAATGTTTGGTAGAAAGATATCAAATGAAAAACAAGCTTTTGTTAATTTTATGGATGCTATTTCTCAAGTTTGTACTAATAAATATAACTCTGAACCTACCAATGTAGATCCTACACCCGAAAATAGGGAATACATTACTCTATCTGACATTGATATTAAAATTATACCTCTTTCTAATCTCGAGGAAGATGCTAATACTATATCTACTGATAATATCAAATCAGCTACACCTACTTCTTGCAATACATCTACTTTTTAACATAAAAGCAAAAAAAATTAGGAAAATGTTCAAAATCTGCAAAAAAGTAGACTTCATATAATATCATATAAGGTAAAGAGGGGTATTATGATGCAGGTAACTTCTACAGTCAATATCACGTGATCTAGTGATCAGAATTGAGCGATTTGGTACCATTCAATTCGTCTCAATGAGACGAATCGAATGGTATCAAAAACATTCGATTCTGACCACTAGATCACGCGATATTGCAAATT